ACTACTACTACTACTACTACTACTACTACTACTACTACTACTACTACACTACTACTACTACTACTACTACTACTACTACTACTACTACTACTAATTACAAAAACAACAACAGCAACTACATCTACTACTACTACTATCACTACTACTACTACGACGACGACTTCTACCACTACGACGACTACTACTACTACTACTACCACTACTACTACTACTACTACCACTCCTGCTGCTGCTACTACTACATACTGCTGCTGCTGCTGCTACTACCACTACCACTACCACTACCACTACTACTACTACTACTACTACTACTACTAATTACAACAACAACAGCAACTACATCTACTACTACTACTACTACTACTACTACTACTACTACTACTACTAGTACGACGACTTCTACCACTACGACGACTACTACTACTACCACTACTACTACTACTACTACTACTTCTACTACTACTACTACTACTACTACCACTACCACTACCACTACCACTACCACTACCACTACCACTACCACTACCACTACCACCACTACCACTACCACCACTACCACCGCTACCACTACCACCGCTACCGCTACTGCTTCCGCTACTGCTACCGCTACTCCTTTGGGGGGTGGCTCTGTCACAAAACTCTACCCCGCGAAAAGGGCGAAAGTTTGGCGAAAGTTCAGCTCAAGATTGGCGAAAGTTCACCCTGCCACACCTGACCCCCAGCCCATTATGAGTAAGTCTGAGCAACCGGCTGCAACAGTGATTCTTGCAACTTTTGATTCTTGCAGACACCCAGGAGAAACAAAAGAGACGTACAGGGTGTCAACAGTTAAGTAGAAGACACATGCTGACAAACAGTGAAGTCGTTATTTCGTATCTGCCAGTAAAGAAGAAGCCATTGACATGAAAAAACTGATATCCATCATGCAACATACATGGCAAACAAAAATACAACATACTTCGGCAAAAGATAAATCGCAGGAAGGCGAAAGTTTGGCTAAAGTAATTCCCCACCTGTCAGGCGAGGGTTGTTAGATTTTAAGTCAGCCCCATCTCCTCCTTCTCCTTCTCCTTCTCATTCTCCTCCGCCTCCTCCGCCGGACCTCAACCACGACCATCCACGCCCAGTGGACCTCAACCACGACCATCCACGTCCAGTGTTCCCTGCCGGACCTCAACCAGGACCATCCACGCCCTGCCGGACCTCAACCACGACCATCCACGCCCAGTGTTCCCTGCCGGACCACAAACACACAACCACAACCACAACACAGCACACAACCACAAACACAACACACAACCACAGCACACAACCCGAGGACCCACAAGCAAAATCGAGGACTACAATACTCACGACCATGGCAACATGCTCCTCACTGTGGCATCAAAGCAAATGATTGAAATGTCATGGTGGGGATCACTCGAAGTAAAGTAGTTTTTTTAGCTAAGAATGACGGATCCCAGATAAAGGAATTTAGATCAACACCCATATACATAATGAATATATAAAGCAGATACTGCCTGGGTTCTATTTTTTCAGGGCCGGTCCTGGCCTCCCACGGCCCGGTCGACCGTCGTTTTTCACGAGCGACGCCTGTTGGAGTCAGAGGAGCATCATACGTGCCTGGCATGCCTGGAGTGGGAGGAAACCGGTTCCCATCATATTCCCATCGGTTCCTTCTCATGGGATGGGATTTACAACATGAAAGATGATGAACACTGGGCGTTCAATATGTTTTTGATTTGGTAAAAACGTGGGACACCTGTCACTGTTGTTTGAAGGTGAAGATGTTGTTTCCATTTTGAATGGTGAACCGGACACCTGGGCACATCAAATATCGTGCCACCCAAGAATGTCATCCTCGCATGTCCGTTTCTGCCGGCGGATGCCGCATCCACTCAAAACTTAGACAAAAATAACAAAAATGATAATGTAACCCTTCACATTGGGTGCGAAAGTCTCGGGCGGAAAAGCTCGGGGAGTCATAGGGGGGTCTCCGGTTCTGAGACGTGACGATCAAAGTGTTGTTTGGTGCCTAAAGTGGTCGGATGTTGAAGACCTTTCATTTGCGCAGATGCCAGTAAGTCCTATTCAAAAAAACCTTGAGATCGAAGTGCGAACCCTGGAGTAAGAAAAACCTTGGCGTTGACTTGCGTTGTTTGTTGGACTGTTCAATTATCCTGGTTGCACAGCAAATTTGTCGGTTACCATGCGCTGAGGGCCTGCATGTGGAGACATTTGCAAGATAAACGATTGAGAACGTTAGATAGTCCAGAAAGATGGACAAACTCACCGTGCCAGAAGTTCGATTTCCAACTTCACCTGTTTTGAGGCCAGCTAGTAGCGTCCGATCAGGAGCCCCTAGTAGCGTCCTTGCTCCTATAGTAGTAAGGCCAGGAGCGCCTAGTAGCTTCTGGTTCCTAGTAGCGATGCCAATAGAAATATTTGCCTGCAGTACAACGATCCTGAGCTTTTCACCCTTCAGCATGGCCATTCCGATGTAGGCCGTGGGCGGCCCTTCCACGGCCCGTTGTGCCACGATCCTCCTCCCCTTCCACGATGGCTCAGGTGTCCGGTTTGGGCAGAACATAGTTGTGTACACCTTGGTCAGTGACGGACTGAGAGACTTTGATCGTCCCATGGCGCTGCGGCTGTTCTGTACCTTCATCGACGTTCAAGACGTCGCCGTCCCAGACTCCGCCCGAACGTCCAGGCGGGGCCGAAGCGACCAGGGCAGCGAAAAAAGGAGATGGAGATGTAGCAGTGTTCATCTCGGCGAACTGATATGATGACATTTTACAGGAAATCATGTTAACTCTATGACTATAGTTAATTCTAAGGAAAACATGTCTTGATTCGAGGACATCAAAGCTACTGCTCAGGAGTCTACCATGCCCACGCAGGAGTGCAAACGCATCATTCAAGGGTGAGTCAGAGCAGCCTGGAAGATGAGTCGAGGGAGATGCCGATTCGGGTGCGAATCGGAGGGGTGTCAGAACAGTCCCCATATCCATCTTCTATACCGGATTCTTCCAAGTGAGCTGTTCACCCTCTAATTTGAGGTCACTTAGACCTGTACAGGCCACTTTTGGGGACTCCAACAAGGTCACTTTGAAGAAGCTGGTAGATATCATCTACTCACCTAGGGTCACTCTAAGCCACTCCTTTGCAACTTCTGGTGTGTGTTTGATTGTTTGTTCCCGATGGGTGTGTTTGTTTGTTTCTCTGTTTCATCAAACAAGTTTGGTTCAACAGTTCGAAGCTGCAGCGTATACTCACGTTCACTACACGAATCTATCACGTAGAATCGCACGTTGCATTCTGGAGTTGGGTGTTCAGAGGGCTTCACCCAGGGTCCCGGCTGTCAGGTATGTGGCAACGTTGCTTGAAAGGTCTGCGACCAAATTCTGTGGATTGTCGGAGGTCAAAGATGCGGAGGGTGAGAAGGCTGGGGGGTTCAATCAGCAACGCATGGAGAATCCATACCCGACCTGTGCCAGCTTGCTTTGACCTTCAAGAATCTATAAGCTATGATGATAGCTTATAGATTCTTGAAGGTCAAAGCAAGCTGGCACAGGTCGGGTATATGGCTATAGCAAAAGATTGCTCGACCTCTTTGGTGCGACGGTCATCTCTCCGGCCGTGATGGCCAGGTGGAGACGCTCACGGTGGATCCACCCGAAGACACTCACGAACATGTGAATGTGGGCTCGGTTGGCCATCCGATGATGTGCCGCCGGCCTTGTGCTCGCTTCGTGAAGGGCGAGTGTACCTCGGGTGCCGATTGCAACTATTGTCACCTGCAGCATGAAGGTGCGATCATGTCGCTCGATAAGCGCCAGCGGAAGCAAATTCAGAACATGGCCTCTAGGCGTGATCTGGAGATTCTATGTAGGTGATGTCTGTTCTTTTCAACTGAGTTTCAGAAGGGTCACCTTCCAATTAGTTCATGAACAGGTTTTTGGGGTGAGGATACGACTCAAACAGCTTGGCAACCCTGGCCACTGGTCGCGCTTATACCAAATCTACCACCGCATACCACCGTGCACTGGGCACTGCCCGACTTCTGCTTTCGACCCGAGTGGATATTCAGTCAGTCCACTCAAAAAACACCGACGAAGCCCACGGTCGTGCAGCGTCCACGCCGAAGGCTGCACGCTTTCGGCTCCGAGGATCTGGCCGATCTCGTGGCCATGCTCCTCCCGCCGCTCCGCGCAGCCCTGGCCGAGCTGCCCACCCGCCCAGCAGGACGCCTGTTGGCGGCTGTGCAGGCCCAGGCGGCAGCACAGGCTCCGGTACCCGACTGCCGCGCGGCGAGGGTGTGTAGACTTTTGGGGGGGTGGCCTGGATTGGTCTGGTGTTTGACTTTGGGCAACTCTTGGGGGTATCGTAGAAGGCAATCCATGTCGATTTGACCTTGGCCTGGCAAAGATGTTTGTTGATCTGGCTTGTTGCAAGAGCTCAGAAGCGGCCAAGTACATCGATTGCGTGGGCTTAGCGGTAAGAAGCACTTGGTGCACGGCTGAGGCTTGCTGGAGCGAAGATTGCGCAGAATGTCGTTGCTGCTTGACACAAGACGCGCGTGTCAAACTGTGAGGGTCTATATGTTGACTCGGAGATTCCTTTAGATTCTGAGATGTATATATTACAGTAATCTCAATCATTACTATATACTATAATATAAGTAATATACAACTTGAATTATGCAACCGAGTGAAGTGAAATTGGGTCCGGTGCAGTCCCCTCAGGCCAGCTCTCCTGTCTTGCATCCCCGCACAACATGGCGACTTTCGTGCCGTGCTGCAAGAACACATCGACGAGATTCGTCGTGAGATGCCAGTCACTGTCAGCCAGACCGTCCGATGTGGAACGTTCTGAAGTTATTTGTTTTTTTTTTCCCGTGAAACGGGTTGTGGAAACCACCAACGTGCATATGCTGCTCGTTGGAACCGTTTTATGTGAATGTCTTTAACGACAGCTCGAGGGTGGAAGCCATCCGAGACGTGTGGAGCGCCTTCGACGCGCACCCCCAGAGCGTTGAAGATCGTTGAAGTCGCCAGGCGTCCTGCCTGACTCCAGGCGTCTATTGGACTCTGATTTCCATGCGAACGGGAACCGACTTTGCGGCAACAGATGTTTTTTGCGAGTGGAAGGGAGAATGTTTTGGCATGTTTTGGCAGTCATGTGCAAAAAGGAGCGCATGTTGTTGGAAGTTGGGAATCGAGTTCGGCATGAGGCCTGCATCAATGCCGTGTTTGAAGTCATGTGGTCACCGTGGATCGAAATGTCGTTCTGCTGCTCTGGCTTCAAGCAAGCGAGACGCAATTTAAGTGACCGCTACAAGACCAAGCATTTGCTGTGATAATGCACATACTGCTGCTGAGAGCTGAGCTATGTGCCAGTGACGGACCTGCAGCGTTTGTGACAAAAATTGCCAGCTACAGTATAGCTTTTGATTCCTTCTCACATAGGTTTGAACAATTGTTCGGAATCGTTCGTTTATTTATTTAGTGCTTGAGTCTCTGCGCAGGAAGGGACCGGTCCGGATTGAGGCTTATACTCACAGCCTACCAAGTGCGTAAATAGCAGGGTTCCAAGAGGGAGCGGGGAGGATTGAGCCCCAGGCCAAATCCTGGGCAATGCCTTTCCCGGGACAAACATCTTGACGGTCCGAAACAAGTAAAGCATGTGTGCTAATTTTTGGGCAGATGTTCGGCAGATTTCGTGTTTTCGACACACCGACATCGGCCAGCGCTTACCAAAGTCTTCAGGAAACCCCGGCTCCGCTCCACTCACGACTCATCGTCCTGGACTGGGGTCGGCCAACGACCACAACAAAAATGAAAACGCGGCGAGCCGCGAGCCTATAATAAGCCACCTTCCCATAGACAATGGCCCACACATGTAGATTATTTTCTAATTACTAGAGGTGCTAGCTGTGCTATGGCTTTGTGCTTGATAGTTCCACACAGTACAAATTGCACGCAGTGCACACGAATGTAATTATACTTTATACCAGTTAGTCAAAGCACTGTGAAGCCGTACAGAAGCAAACGGTAAGGCTTTAAAGTGATATGTGCCATCCACAACCCTGCGAACATCACCATGTCAAGCAAGAGAGGAGGGTGCTATGGGTTCGACAGTTCAGTTCTCGCTGAGGGAAGCTGGCTTCCCAAACTTCGCCAAAGCTGAGAAATTGTATGGGTGGACGTCTTGGGGGTGCATGTTCAATCCTAATCCTCAACAATCCGTGGGCCTGGCATATTTAGCTACATTGGAGTGGCTTTACGATGTTTTAAGTGTCGGTGTAGGTGAATCTGTCATACGATGTTTTACATTTTAAGGGTCACTGGTAAATACGTCTTAATTACTTAAATTACATATTCATGAACTGCCGGGGAATTGTAATACTTGTTTCTTCCGAAACGGTGTGGGTTGGTTTCTCTTTGGGTTTTGGGGACCTTGTTACACTGTTTGGCTCGAGAACACTGGGTGATCAAGCAGCATGACACTGAAAAATGCTGTAAAGGGCGCAACGTGCACTATTCAGTCACAAATCCACCAAGATCACTGATCTCGACATGCCGTTCACAACTGGAAAGGATCCACTTGTAATTGTTCCTTGTCACACAGTTGCAGTGCACCGCACTCAAGCTGCTGATCAAAAAGGGCGCAGTTCCCCAAACACACCGACAAGCGCCACAAGACGGATCGACTGTGGCCAGATGCTGTAGTTCAACACGTATGCAGCCGCAGCGGGTCCTCATTTCTTATCAGACATCTTCTGATATTTATATAGAATCCTTTGGACCATGAAGTCTTCAGCTTTAGCCCTGGGACTTTGTGGTGTTCTTGTGCCATGACGGGCGCAAGAGGGCTTCACCCCATGGCAATCTCTTTCGCGGCCAGAAGGGAATGGGGAGGGTTAGAGGCCTTGAGATGCCTTGACGGAGCATTATATACTTTTTGACCACACAGGGTCATATGCTTCGTTGGACATATTAATGAGACTTCCTTGATCTTGTTTGTGGAGTTTGGCTCGTTTTTGTGTGTCCGAAAAAAACAAACCACGCACATGTTTGCGTGGAAAAAGAGACCACGCCCCAAAACATGCCTGAAATCACCCGTGGTGTGTGTGTGTGTTTTTACCTCCAGGTCTCCGAAGATTCGATGAGAAAGCAAGGTCTCCCAAGCAAGGTCTCGTCCGTTGAAGGATTCTCGGACGGACCTTTTCAATTTCTCATCCCCACACGATTTAGGATGAAATTTTGTTGGGCACCATCTGGCATGGATGCTGGCAGGTATTCCCGGTCTATTCTTGCAAATTCTGCCCGTTTTCCACGTCCAGAAGCAGCTCCAGAGAGTTGGGTTTGACCACGGCTCACCCGACAACTTGGGTGATTCATGGTGGTTCATGAACTTTGTTTGTGACTGCAAGTAGCTTCTCCTAGCAATCCTTGCAGGTGACTTCGCGCCCATGAGCCTGGGGGTCCCAGAAAGCCTGGGGGTGGTTTTGGGTTCAAAGTCTTCGGACGGCTCCGTCGATGGTTTGGTGTCCGGAACGAGCATCGGCTCTGAGAATGTGTGACTTCGCGCTGAGAGTGTGTAGGATTGGATGCCTTATTGCCTTAGAAAAGCGACCAGCAGTTGCCAGCGGTCTTAAGGGTCCACTCTCCGATCGATGTTGGACTGCAGGGGGAATCCGGGAGAACACTGTCAAAGAACCTGGTTTCTCCTAAGCTCAACACCAGTTTTTGAAGAACACGGTCAGATTCCTTGACTTTTTCCGGGGGCAACATCTCCCGAATCTTCCAGTCAGGAACCTCCTTCAGCCGAGGCCCAGTTCCAGGCTCCGCCCGAGACCTCCACCATGAAGACTACGACAGCTTGGGCAGGGGCGCACGGAAGAGAACGCATGGCAACAGGATCTCAATACTGTTCGCGTTTGGGATGATCCGTGGGTTCCACCAGCAGGTTTTGGTGAAGTGATTTCACATGATTTCACTTAGCCTTTATGAAGTAAATGGCATGTCCGCTCAACTGCAAAAGGTTCTACAAGAAATGTGTGTGTGTGGCGCGCGTCCCGGAGGGTTTGTTTTGAGTGTTTGTTCTTGTTCTATCCGAGTGACAACCTTTAAACGTTTGTGTAACATTGTTTCATTCATATTAATATTAGTTTCACAAGAATACAGCGTGCCTTTTCTTTGTTCAATGAGCGCGTTTGAGTAGTCTACCATGTTCTACTCGTATTATCATTATCATGTTTGGGTCATCCATCCTATTGTGGCCGTACGACCAAAACACCCGACAACAAAGCATCAATCAAGAAAGAACCAAATATGATAAATTATCAATGCTTTATTGACAAAACAATGATGAGGACCATACCTGCCTCTCAAAAGTATTGCTCAAACCGGCGTGTTCAATCGAAAGCGCGCTTCTTTAAATGTCTACTGCTTTATAGTTGTTCCACTCAGGGGGGTGCGAACACACAGTGACCGCATGCGGCGCAAGATACAGCGCCCAAACACCCAGCACAGCATAGAGGAAAAGCGGCACAAACAACGCACTTTCTCATTGCACACCTTTGAGGCATTGGCTGAGTGAAACTAGATTTGATTTCTTTGAAACGATGCTTCGACATGTTTCGGCTAAGCCAGCATAAAGAAACTATTTGCGAAAGGACAGCACAGTCAAGTGAAGATAAACATGGTGATGCAGGTATGGCCATAAGACCGTATATCCAAAAAAGTCCGGGCCGAATTGTTTCATGGTGGCACCAAGCAGTTCAACACAAGCATCATGAACAATTCCAAAATCACCAAGATCTTTCTCCAACCGAACATGAACCACTCATTTCTGATTCATGCAGTGATGGTTTAAGCAGTTTTATAGCCTCCTCATGCCAGGGATTTGATTTTTAGGAAAAGAAACAACGACCCATGGAAGTCAAAGTCATGGCAACGACCATTTGTCAGACTGCGAGCATTTACACACCAGAAAGTGGCCAACTCAACTTTTTGAGCACGATTTGCTTGAATTTGTTGATTTGCTACTAGTCAGTTTCTGATCATGCATCCCCTGCTCGACCGTTCGACCATGTTTGCCGTAGTCCAAGATTGGGTGCGGGAAGCCTGTACCTGAGGCTGTACTGGAAGCCTCCTTTGTCTCGGTGAGGAGGAGGTGCCGTACCGGGCGCGCGAACCCGAATCGCAGTGAGCACTTCTGCGCTCCTTCCGTGCACCGCGCGGAGGTCTCAAGCTGGAGATATGTGGGCGAAGGCAAAGGGCACTACATGATTGTGAGGGGCTCAAGAGGGCACACCAGGGTGTTGATGGCACACCCATGGCACACTTGTGGTTTGTATAGGAGTTTTCGACCTAAACAAGTTGTGCTCTGGGTGCTCTGGGGAGTGGAGTCGCGACTCAGTCATGAACCATGGATGGGATAGAGATGGACAGATATGGATAGAGTTTTGAATTTTAGAGGGTGTGATGTCAGCAGCTGTAGCTCCAAAAGATGCCTGCCTGCCTGCCTGCTGAGGTGAATGACTACAAGAGCGTGGGAGAGAAGAAGGGCTCCTACAGCCCTCGTTTCGTGTGGACCCCTGGAGTGAACCACCCCTGCAAGACGTCGTGTTCAAATCAGTGTCTTTTTGTTCCAGTTACAGTCTACTATACAAACACAATATTATATATGTATAACAATTTTTGAGAAAGGCTATACCCAACCAACACATTATTTTTGTTGAATGAATGGAGTCATTGTCTTTGTGGCCTGCATCATGGTTTCGTGGAGTTAAAACCACCCAGTTGGTCATCCTTTTGGGGTTATGCCATGCACGTCCATGATTATTTGAGGGAGTGTAATGTAGAGATGTACCATCCACAGTGGAACAAACATATTGGCCAAGCTGGATTTCTCATGCTCGACGCCCCTCTTCGTTCAACGACTGTGCCACCCCAGGAGAGGACCTACACACGCTTTCGTCCACGGCTTTCTGTGGCCCGGCCCTTAGCCCAAGGGGGAGGGCCAACCAGTTCGTTCCTGGCAGCGCCTTCATCGGCACGTTGCGCCTTGGTGCTGCAAAGTGTGCATGTGGCTCATCGCATCAGGCTTTGAAGAGCTCATTGGATCTGGATCTGGCAACAGTTTTGAGCTGATTTTGGACCTTTTTGGGAAACTCTGCAGATGATTGCAGATGATCACTCTGTTTTGAGCTGCTGGGCAACCTGAGTAGATCCCAGTTTCAATGAACTCAGAAGCAGAAAACCTTGTGTTTGTAAAAGGAAGATAAAGACGATAGTATTTAAAGGCTTACGCCTGACATCGGAGCCGACCCGAAGGCAAGAGGAAGGGGAAGAAGAAAAGCAAGGAGCAGGATGGAGGGGGGAAGGAAGGCAGAACGGTGTGCCAGCCGGTTGTTTCTGGCTTTCCTGGATCTTTTTCGCTTTCGCTCTCTCCCTCTCTCTCTCTGTCTGTCTCTCTCTCTCTCTCTCTGTCTTTCCTGTATGTTATTTTGTTTGCTTGTTGTTTTAATTTACTATTGTCTTATTACTTAATTTATTTCATTTATATGTTTGTATTAGTTTATGTCTTTTGTTCTTTATGTCTTTGCTTTTTTGTGTCTTTCATTATTTCTTTTGTTATTTATTTATGTCTTTCCCCTACCCTTTCCCTGTCTCTGTTCTCTGTGTTTGTTTGTCTCTCTCTCTCTCTCTCTCGCTGTCTGTTTGTTTGCTTGCTTGTTTGTTTGTTTGTTTGTGTGTTTGTGTGTCCGTCTGTCAGTCCCTCCGTCCGTCCGTCCGTCCGTTTGCCTGTATGTTTGTCCGTCTGTCTGTCTGTCTGTCTGTCTGTCTGCGTCTCCTCTCTCTTCTCTCTGCTCTCTTTTGACACTTAGCCTGCTGTCATGTTGCGGGGTTGGACTGATAATGAAAAGTGACAAACACATAAAATGCTAATGATGCAAATCTATTCAGGCAGCATCACTCGCACCATGTGCGATTGAAACCGAATCCAAGCGGAACAACGTCCAATACACATATTGTCATCGTCCTCGACCGGGCTCGACGGATTTGCACAGGGCGCAAGCTGACTGACGAGTCCGCCCAATCTAGTAGCAGGTCTCTGCGTGCTTCATCCTCGTGGCCTTGACGATCCTGGGCGCCGTCGCGGTGGCTCAGGCGAGGTGTCCGACTGGCCAAGTGGAGGGTCGACCTGAAGGTGGACGCGCCGAGCACTGAAAACCCTGGAAAACCACCGACCCAGCAAATACGTGAAACTGCACAAGTTTCTAGGTGGAAATTGGTGACAACCCACTAAGTAGTCCAACAGTGGGATCGATCGATCTGTGGCTCGGCGCACAGGGCCCAAAGACATTTGATTATGAAAGGTAGCTTTAGCCACCTGAGTTCTGTTATCTTTAGCTTCGGGGCAGCTTTGGGGTCGCGAAAGGCATTTCTTCATCACAGGGGGGGCCCGTGGCTTGGACTCTTAGGTTCTACGCGAGGTCTGCTCTTCTCAAGAAGTTTGTATGTAGGCTTTTTGTGCACATGCTGAACCGCATGTTACATAGTCATAGTAGTAGTAGTAGTAGTAGTAGTAGTAGTAGTAGTAGTAGTAGTAGTCGTCGTCGTAGTCGTAGTCGTAGTCGTAGTCGTGGTGGTGGTGGTCGTTGTAGTGGTAGTGGTAGTGGTAGTGGTAGTAGTAGAGTGGTAGTGGTAGTAGTAATAGTAGTAGTAGTAGTAGTAGTCGTAGTGGTAGTGGTAGTAGTAAGTAGTAAGTAGTAAGCACTAAGTAGTAGTAGTAGTAGTAGCAGCAGCAATGGTCATTGTAGTAATAGTAGTGGTTGTATAGCAGGGTGCTCGATTTGGCTGTGTTCGCATGATTTCGCGACATCATTCTTGCAAGACTTCCTACAGCTATATTTGTTGAAGCAACTGTCGCAAGTAGTGCAAGTAGTAGTATAGTGACGTAATATGGTCGTTGTAGTATTGTAGTACTATGAGCAAGGCGCGCGGGGTCCGCGGGGTTTGCTGGTTCGCGGAGTGCGCGAGTTTCGCGGGGGTTGCGGGGTCTGCGGCGTTTGCGGGGTAGTAATAGAAGAAGAAGAAGAAGGAGTGGTATTGTGATTGGATTCGTATCGAGCTTCTCTCCCTCCTCGTTATTTTGTTTTTGTCTACTGGTGCTGCAGCTTTGAGCGTTGATTTGTCTCTCTCTCTCTCTCTTTCTCTTTGCTCTCTCTCTCTCTCTTTGCTCTCTCTCTCTCTCTCTCTTTGCTCTCTCTCTCTCTCTCTTTGCTCTC